TTTGGAGGGGCTTGCTGCTGCTAGTCTTCTTTCTGCTCCTGCTCCTACTCCTGCTCCTGCTCCTCCGCCTCGATCTTTATCCAGCATTATCTCCTGCTCCTGCTCCTGCTCCTCCTCCACAGCAGTGCTGCTGCTCTCCACGTCTCAGCCTGATGCTCCTCCTCCTCCTCCTCCTCCTCCTCCTCCTCCTCCTCCTCCTCCTCCTCCTCCTCCTCCTCCTCCTCCTCCTCCTCCTCCTCCTCCTCTTCCTCCTCTTCCCCCTCCCGCCAGCACTCTATAATAATAATAGCACGTGCCGCCTCCTCACGTACGTTTTGCTGTTCCTGCTTCTTCCTGTCCTGCAGCATGCAGAAAAGAACGTTAGGTTGTATACATTAAGAAAAAACACATTTTCTTGTTTCAACAATTCAACAATGATTGTTATTATTTATAAAACAAAAGTTGAAGAAAGCTTAATAAATCGTCTCATGCTGCTGTGCTGGACAAGTCGGTTAATAATATACCACGTCAGCGAAGAACCCACCAAATCGCAACCGCAGTTGCATCAGCCGTGGCTTGAACCCGCGATCACCAATTGCGCATTCGTACTGCAATTTTACTCTTTGTCTTAGCACAGACTCACTCACCACTCCGGGCGGAGTAGCCGATGCCTCGGACCAGGCAGCGTTAGGCTATATTCTACAACCTTCTTGTGAATCGCCCTTACTGCAGACGTGTCCTTTCAAGGACGCTAAAGCTGTTTCTTTGTGCTTTTGTTGCGGTCTATTGATTGGTATTTGTCTTGTTCCGTGGCTCGCGCGCATTAGACACATGTCGTCTTCTGCTTCTTCGCGGCTTGTTTTCTACTTGGCGCCTGCTCCATAAATAAAATTTTAAAAACGTCCTGATAGCTCTCGCTGTGACGGTCTCATTTCAATTGTCTGTTTGTCGTCGGCGAGCGGTGAGAAGTAGGGGCGGCGCACTTTATTACTAATATACGACAAAGCGCGATTCGCGGGGTTGTTGTATTGGTGGTTGTTGTGCTCTATTCTCTGTTCTTCTCTGCGTGATATTTAGCATCATCATCATTTAGCATCATCATCATTATTATAGATTGCGCCCACCAGTAGTTGTTGGACGACAAAGAAGTACATACATATAATTTAGCACTTCTGGAACTAACTCCTATTTTTCAGCACGTATCACAGCAGAGCACGTATATCTTGTCAGGCGTGTCCTTATACTTTCTGCAAAGGCGTGTCCTTATTAATTACGTCAAGGACGCTCTTTTGCTAAAGCTGCTGCTGTATTAGACATATAGATATAATAATAGCATCAGTGGAACATCTCCTGCAGATGGAGGAGGATGATGACGATGACGATGACGATGATGATGATGACGATGAATAATTACATCACGAACAATCTCTCTGTGTCAGAGTCCGTCCCCCTCCTGCTGCCCTGCTGTCGGTCACTCTGTGTCGCTCTGTGTCCATTCCCAGAAATATCACCAAACCCTCTCCGTCCTCTCCGTATCGGCGTATCTGTGTCTCTCCACCACGTCCTCCACCGTCTCGCTACTATACCTCCACCGTCTCCCCACCCCCACGACTTTCCTCCCAACCTTATAATTATAAGCATGTCAAGCGGCGTATCTTTTTGGGCAGTGCGCCGTTGAAGATGAACGTTTAGGAGATGTGTACTAATAGTACATGTGTGCACGACACGCCGCGTCTCTGTACACAGATGTATACAGACGTGTATGTGCTCTTCTGTGTGCTGCTCTGTGATAAGACAAAAAAAGAGGTATATTGCTAGTAGTAGTCGTAGTAGTTGTATCTGTTGTAGCTTTTGTTGAGTGGTGGCAACGGCAACAATAAGCTGATGGATGTACATTACTGTTGTTGCTATTATTATTAGCAGTACCAAACTCTGCTGCTGCGGCCGCCATATCGTGTCATCATGGAGGGGTGTTTTGCTTATTATTAGGTAGGGCTTCATTATTTTTCTGCTGCAGGGAGCTGAACAGGACTATACCCCACACTGCTGCAGCTGCGGATACGTAGTATAGCTGTCATGCTGCGTGTGCGTGTGCGTGTGCGTGTGCGTGTGCGTGTGCGTGTGCGTGTGCGTGTGCGTGTGCGTGTGCGTGTGCGTGTGCATGTGCATGTGCGTGTGCGTGTGCGTGTGTGTGTGTGTGCGT